CCCCACCCACCAGCACACAGCACACCTCGCCGTCTGTGACTCCGGCTCGCTCTTGGGCAGTCAGACGCGGATTCCGCGCTGGGCGGAGGATTTTGCTGAACCTTCTTACACGGTGTTTCATTAGGAAATAATGGGGAAATGCAGTCTCACATGAGCATCATTTGTGTAGACACCATCCATCTTTCCCAGAGCATAATATTATGTGTGTGTGTGTGTGTGCGCGCGCGCGCGTGTGCAGGGCATATTTTCATGTAAAAGAAATCGTTCCAGACACCTCTGAAGGATGCGCCTACCTCCTGATTTGGTCCCGTTCGCCTCTCTCCCCAGAGTTCCCCCACGGCCCTGAATTGGGTGGTTTTTGCCGCATGTTTTTAATGCTGTTACTACATACTGTGTATATGCATGCCCATAGCTGGCATTGTTTTTTAAGCTTTATGTAACCAGCATCACATTGCTCATTCTGCAGCTTGCTTCTTTAGGGCAGCATAGTATCTTCGAACTTTGTCCCTTTGCATTTTAGATCCAGTTAATTCATATTAGCTAATGGATTGTATTCCATTGCAGGGATACACCTTAATTTCATTCTTTTCCAGTTAGTGACTATTTTAGGTTGTTTCTAGTTCGGGTTTTTGTGTGTGTGTGTGTGTGTGTGTTTAATTGATCTTTTAGAGAGAGCGAGAGCGGAAGGGGAAGGGAGACTTCAAATTGTTGTTTCACTTATTTATGCATTCATTGGTTACTTGTACTTACCCTGACCAGAGAAATAACCCGAAGCCGCGGACATGTTTCTAGTTTTTAATGTTACAGTGTAGCAGTGAACATTCTTGTACCTGTCTTTTTGTACACTTGTACTGGAATTTCTCCAACATGTTTAGCCAGAAGTGAACTTTATGACTTGAAAGGAATGTGGGATTCTTTTGCCTCCCCCCCGTCTAGGTGAGGGAGGTTCAGAATCATAGAGTTGGAATTTTAGTGTCAGTAGGAACTTAGAAGATGGGACACAAGATCATAGGTAGTGTCAGGACTGAAGTAGTGATGGAAGGGAGAATGGAGTGGTGGAAAGATCTTGAGTTTTGGAATTCTGATTCTTCCTATCTTTTTAGATCTTGGGTACTTTGTAATGTGGCACTTATTCAATACCCACCTCTCAGGGTTAATGTTGCAATTAATGGAACGATCATATTATAATTAGCCTGTCCCATTCATTTACCATACACATACACACGCCCAAACAATACCAAATGCCTCTCTATCTCTCTTAGAGGTAAAAGAGCTAAATCTTTAAAAAAGAAGTTACAACTTGAAATAACTAATGGAAATTTTATTTTTTCTGCAACAAAATAAATAACCAGAAAGAAAGCCACTAGTATTGATGTTTCTCTTTTGTTTGCATAATTTTAGAAGGTACTGTATATAAACTATTTTATCTTCCATTTCATTGTCTCTCCCTACCTAATGAAAATTTTAACCAAAGAGCATGTGATAAGTCAATGTTTTGACCAGTTAAAATTCAAAAACAAGTAAACAATCATGTATTTTTGTGTGTTAATCTTTACAAGGCTAATTTATTCACTTAAAAGACTGCTCTTTGAACTCTAGCTGGTTTGGCTCAGTGGATAGAGCGAGGGCTTATGGACCAAAGCGTTCTGGGTTCAATTTCAGTCAAGGGCATGTACCTTGGTTGCAGGCTCCTCCCTGGCCTGGGCCCTGCTCAGGGCTCGTGCAAGAGTCAACCAATCGATGTGTTTCTCTCATATCGATGTTTCTGTCTTTCCCTCTCTTTTCCACTCTCTCTAAAAATCAATGGAAAAATATCCTTGGGTGAGGTTTAACCACACACACAGACTGCTCTTTGAGATTACATTCTTTTTTTTTTCTTTTTAATTCTTTATTGTTGAAAGTATTACATATGTCTCCTTTTTCCCCCTTTGCCTCTCCCAGCCTGTCCCCACCCTCCAGCCCTGGCCTTCACCCCCACCCCATTGTCTGTGTCCATTGTTATGCTTATATGCATACAAGTTCTTATCCCCTCAACACTCCCCAGCCTTCCCTCTGAGGTGATTCTGTGTCTCTGGTTCTGTTTTTGTTCATCAGTTTTGTTGTATTCTACAAATGAGTGAGATCATGTGATACTTATCCTTCTCTGACTGGCCTATTTCACTTAGCATAATGCTCTCCTGATCCATTCATGCTGTTGTAAATGGTAAAAGTTCCTTTTTTTACAGCAGCGTAGTATTCCATTGTGTAGATGTACCACAGTTTTTTAATCCACTCATCTGCTGATGGGCATTTAGGCTGTTTCCAAATCTTAACTATTGAAAATTATACTGCTATGAACATAGGGGTGCATATGTTCTTTCTGATTGGTGTTTCTGATTTCTTGGGATGAGATTACATTCTTACTGTAGGTGTTAATGGTCCTTCATGAAAGGATACAGATAGGTGATAGGGTTAGTTGGTTATTTTGTATGTTGGTTTTTACTTTCCTTTTTTTAGCATCATTACAAATTTTACTAACCCATGTTGGTCCCAAATTTTATTTTGAAATTATTAGTCTGTGTAAATCCAAAATCTCAGAAATTCTGTTGTGCTATATTCAAGACTGTAATTTCCTGATGTCTAGGATCTTTTCAAGAGGAGCTTATATTCTATAACTGGTTGCCATTTAGTGTAAAGAATTTGATAATTATTCAGTGTGAAAATGGTCTGGGTACCAGTCTACATGAAGGTGTTCACAAAAAGTTAGGACTATGAACTCTGATTCAAGCAATGGATGTTAAGTTGGGTATCTCAAAGACAAATCTATTTGTGATTTCTTTTTATAAGTCAGAATATTTCACAAGGACCTTCTAATGGAATGTTTTTCTTTCTTTCCTGAGGGAGGGAAAAACATTGTTTTTACTTACTTTCTTTCAAGTGGCGGACTGCTTCAGAGATTGAATCTAGATGGCACTTGACTTAGGTCTGTAGGGTATAGTAGAGGTGGCCCTAGCCCAACTCCTATTCAGGCTCTTTGAATTTGAGCTGAGTGGTGTTGGCACACTTGTCCTGATGCCAACACATGCTGCTTTTGACTTGAAAAGACATGCTAGCCGTGAAAGCTGAAGATAGTATGAATAGCCTTTCATCAATACAAACACAAAACACCCTTTTTTCCTTTAAAAAAAAAGTGCCCACACTGCCTGTTAGTACTAATAAGTAAACTTTTAAGGTAGCTAAGTTAACAAGTGAATTGAGGGATTCAATGTATCAGTATGATATGATGCTTTAAATTTTTTCTGCTATTTAATTTTTCTTGAACAGAAACACCGTGCTGGACAGCCAGCGTAAACAAAAGCATTATGGAATCACTTCTCCAATTAGCTTGGCATGTCCTAAAGAAATTGATCACATTTACACACAGAAATTAATTGATGCCATGAAACCATTTGGAGTTTTTGAAGATGAGGAAGAATTGAACCACAGGTATGTCACATAAAAATGCAAAATATTTTACAGTATATTATTTAATCATTAATTCTACAAACATATATCAGGTACCTATTATGTCCCTGCCTAAACGTTTTTTTTAAAAAGGACAAATGAAGAGAAACCTTGGCGTTCCTGGAATTTATATTTTAGGTGATTGTTAGGGAAGGAGACTAACATTTAGCCAAATAAGTAAAACAAATATATGTTATATGTGATGAATACTGCTGGGAAAGAGTAGTGATGCTGACAAAAATAAAGCTGGGAGTGGAGGTTGTCAGTGAAGTCTTCATTGACATTTCAGGAAAAAATTGAAGATGAGGGAGCTATGTGAATAGTTGAGGGGAAAGCATTCTAGACAGAAGGCTTGAGGTGGGAGTGTACCTGCTTTAAGGAATATATAGCAAGGTAGCCTGGTGTCTAAAGCAAGTGAGTTAAGTAGAGGAATGTGGGCGTAAAGAAAGTGAGGTAGAAAGGAGTTTGGAGGGGAAGGTCACTTAGGACATTGTAAGCCGTTATAAGTTTTGGCTTTGCCCTGGCTAGTGTTCTCAGTGGTTAGAGCATCAGGCCCCGCACCAAAAGGTCTCGGGTTTGATTCCCAGTCAATGGCACGGACCTGGGTTCAGGTTCCATCCCTGGGGCACATGCAGGAAGCAACCAACCAATGTGTCTCACATCCATGTTTCTCCCCCTCCCCTCCCCCCTTCTCCTTCCCTCTTCCTCCCTCTTCCCCTCTCCCACTTCCTCATGTGAGGATTAACAAAAAACAAAACAAAAGTTTTGGCTTTTACTTTGAGTAAAATGGGAAGCTATTAGGGTTTTGACTAGAAGGTTGATGTGATTTACTCATATTTTAACACAGTCGCTCTGGTTGCTATATTGAGAATAGTCTGAAGAGAGATCAAGTCTGAACTGGAGAAATTAGTTGGAAGGCTAATATAATCAGGGAAGAAATGATGGTGGCTGGCAGTGGTTATGATAAGTAGTAGAATTTTGGATATGTTTTAAAGGTAGGGTTGTCTGATGACTATGGAATGTGTGAGAGAGAAAAGATGAGAGAGGATCAAGAATGATGCCAAGGTTTTTGGTCTCAGCACCTCGTGAAGGATGAAATTTCATTACCTGGGGAAGGCTGAGGGAGAAGCAAGTTTAGACGGATCCAGGAATCCAGTTTTTCATGTTATCTTTAAGATACTTAAACTCTACTTTCCTTCTTTCTTTTTTTTATTATTATTTTTTAATCCTCACCTGATAATATTTTTCCATTGATTTTTAGAGAGGGAAAGAGAAATATCAATGTGAGAGAAACACATCAATTGGTTGCCTCTTGCATGTGCCCCAACCAGGGTCTGGGCCGGGGAGGAGCCTGCAACCAACATACATACCCTTGACGGAAATTGAATCCAGGACACTTCAGTCTGCAGGCTGGCACTCTATCCACTGAGTCAAACCATCCAGGCTCTTTTTTCTTCTTTTAATGTGGATTTGGATATGCCATTATTTGCAAATTTATTTTAATATCAGTTGCATTTATTAAGAATATTATTTCATAAAAAGCAGCCAATGATTAATTTACCCATTTTAATTATCCAAAAACCTATGATTTTCAATGAGAGAAGGCTAATCTCTATTATTATCATATTGAATTGATTTTTATTCCAATGTAGGGCCAAAAAAGTTGATAACTCATTTGGCCTTTGCAGCCTTCTTGAAGGTAATTTTGACTTTTATTAGACTTCTTGAATTTTGAAAATAACTCAAAAGACCGAAATACTATTATCACATATATCATCTCTTTGGAACTCTTAGGGACCTAAGAATGCCAAAGAGATTTGATAGCATCAATCCTGTCTAATAAAGAGGAAACATGCAAATTAACCATCACACCATCACAAAGATGGCAGCACCCAGTCCCCTCAGCGACCTGCCCTCAGCCCCCCAGCCGCCCAGGGCCAGCCCACGGCGCAGGCAAGCCTTGGATGGTGGCTGCCCGAGGCTCAGGTAACCAGGGCTGGCCGAGGCTTGCGCTGCTGGCAGTGGTGGCAGCAGAGGTGTGATGGGGGCGTCACCTTCCCCTCATCGCCGGGTCGCCTCCCACCCCTGAGGGCTCCTGGACTATGAGAGGGGGCAGGCCGGGCTGAGGGACCCCCTTCCAGTGCATGAATTTTCATGCACTGGGCCTCTAGTGTGTGTATAATATGCCTTTACCCTAACACCAACACAAAGGTACTGCCTATATACTTAGTTGCTTTTTAAGATATTGTTTGTTTGTTCATTTGTTTTTTAATCTAATGCATGCTATTTTTTTTTATTATAGGCTGGTTGTTCTTGGTAAATTAAACAATTTAGTAAAAGAGTGGATTTCCGATGTTAGTGAGAGTAAGGTAAGACGTTAAAACTGCATTGAATTCATAGTTTCATTACATCCTGTTCTTTAGTAGTGGTAATAAGATATAGGAGTTGAGAATAATCTGAAATACATTAAAACTGGCTCTTTGGTATACTTGGTAATGAATTGGTCTGGACAGTGGAGTCTAAAAAAATGAGGATTTACCTCAGAGGTAGCCAATTAGCTAAAACTTCACATAAATATCTTGCATGACTCACAGTAATGGACCACAATTTAAATATCAAGATACTTTATTTAAAAAGCCAGATTTCGGACTTGTTGTGAAATATCAGCTCTGGCAATACTGGGCCTGCCTTTGTGGAAGGCAGGAAGAGGCTTGAATGGAATTGGGCTTCTGCTCTGCAGGAATGCCTCTCAGCTTCCCCACTTCCTGCCCTTTCTGAAGCAGCACCTGTCATTTATCAGTCAGTTTCTGTGTGTCTTAAGGGTACTTTCCTCAGTTGCATACCTGCGTGACCCCTGAGACAGGAGTTTGCAAACCCTAATTTATAATTATACAACTTTTCCTCCTGTGGTGGTTTAACTATTTTTCTTCTAAAATTAATTTTATATATTTTTGCTTTCTTAAGTATTTTTAATATAATTGTATTTTCATTTGTCTGAGAATCATCATTATGAATATTATATTACTGCCTGTACTAAAATGAGGTGGGGATGTTCAACTGGTGATACTTTTTGTCCCTTGACTAAGTGGCCCAAACTGTTGTATATTAAGGTTTTTGTTTGTTTTTTATAGTTTTCCCATCTTTCCCTTAACAGCAGTCAGCTAAAAGTTAATGTCTCAGAGCAGTCAATATGTCTCTGCAAACTCACTTTCTACTCTTTAATCTGCATGGATTTAGAAATTACATAAACATCTGTTAGACTTCTTTTTTTACGACTTTTATTATTTCTTTCTGTACCTATGATACATATTTAAAATTGAGTTCTTTTAAACAAAATTATGAATAACGTTATGAGGGACTCTGCTAAGTCTGTAGTCATTGGGTTTAAATAAATGGTCTTCATGCTGTTTACTTTTGCTGCCAAATGGCTATTGGCTCATTTCTTAGCTCTCAGTAGGGTTATTAATAGTTGAAATTTTCAGATAAGTTATATTTTGAGCAAGTTAAATGCTAGTCATGAGTAATAAAAAAAATTCATATTTATTTCTCTGCTACTAGGTGATAAACTCCTTAAGAAAAAGGCCTGTCTTGTTCACCTGCACCACCCCAGGACACAGGGCTCAGGCATTAAATAAATGTTAGGGAAACCTGTTGTCCCTCTCTAATCAGTCCATAATTTCAATGGGTGTGCAAACCAAATACCCAACTTGCTAGAATTATTTTAAAATCAGAGTAACCAGCTTCATAACTTCTTGTGTATGATCTTTATGTCAACTATTGTGGTTGTGCAGAAGTCTTTGCTTCCATCCTTATTCAAGGGTGCATTTATTAGCAAAAAGAGTTAGATTAATTTGTTGAGAGATGACCTAATTTTCTCACTTTGTAGTTTCTTTGCACTTAGAAAAATCCAGTAGAATTTAAAATTTTCAATGTCAATTTTTTTTTAATTAGTAAAATTGCTTTTTATTCCATTTTAATCAATTAGCTCTTTAATCTGCAAAAACCCTGTAGCTGGTTTTCACTCAAAATCTAGGCATAAAACCATTGTTAAAATTTTGAAACTGCCACAACTTGGCTTTTTTCTAAAGCAAAGTAAATAAAATATCTACTTATTTGAAAATTTAAATTGGTTTTAACATCTTCTGTTGCATGGATAAGGTGATTGGTCATTTTATGTATCAATTATAATTCCCTTCATTTATGCATGCTTTAGTTTGGAAAATATCTGAAGGATTTGAGTTAGATCAAAGATTATTTGAATAGTCTATACACAATTGGGATATTTAAACAGCCTAGAACTCCAAATCAAATCATTTTAGTTAATAGGTTTGTGGCAAAAATATTTTACTCGGAGATTTTGTGTGTTACTTTCTAATATATCATGCAAGAATCATGTTTTTCAAAGTAGGAAGGTCTTAGGAGGAGGGTAAAATAAAAGGTCCTTGCTTCTCTATCCTTTGATTTATATTAGTCATCAATAAATTTACTAACTTCATTCTAGCTATAAAGTTATTTATGATACTCTTGAAACATTAATATTTATTAAGCAGAGGAAATAACAATATCCTATTATACAGATATTTTTATTCAAGTTAATCAGCAGATATTATTCTTTGGAATTTTCACTGGGCATTGTGGGGAAATAAGAGTTGTAGGAGACACCATTCTCATCTTCCAAGGAATTTAAATATAGTTGAAGAGGTGGGACTTACAGAAAAAGAATGATCACTAAATATAGTATAAAAGGGGTTAAAGATAATAGTAGAGGAGCAGTGAGGGGGGAGCGGAAGATAATTAGGAAAGGCTTCATGAAAGAGGTGGAACTTGAAGTGAACTTTGAAAAATAGATGGTATTGAGATACTCAGAAAGAAATGGGCAAACATTCATGGCAGGGAAAATGGCAAATGCAATGGGAAGGAGACCGGATTGTGTGACATGTTGGCAGTTGGAGCTTCAGAAGGGAAGATCAGGAGACGAGGCAAGAAAGATTCATAGGAGCATATTGTGAACTTCCTTAGGATCCAAGGATCCTTACCTCAGTGGTCACGGAAGAGTGTATTGGGAAGTTTTGAGTAGAAGAGTTATAATAGAGTAATTTAAGAATATCAGTGAATTTTGTACACAGTGGAATAAGAGAAAATAAAGACTAAGGGCAAAAGGATAGCTTTATGCTACTGTTAAATGTCCTAGAATTAAGGGGGTGATAGTTGAATAGAAAGTAGGTGACATGAGGGATATAAACTAAAAATTGTAAGCCAAAAAGAAGAAGAATGAGTATAGGTATGGGCAGAAAGGTTGCTGAGCTAGGATCAAGAAATTAAGATTATCTGTCACAAAAAACAAAGGGCAGATGGGATTAGTCAAGAGTATCCTTATATAATAAAAGGCTAATATGCAAATTGTCCTGTGGGAGTTCGACCGACCGGGAGTTGGACCACTCGCTATGACATGTGCTGACCACAAGGGGGCGGCATGGAACGAAGGAAGGCCCCAATTGGCCCTAATCACCGGCCAGGCCTAGGGACCCTATCCATGCACAAATTTTGTGTACCAGGCCTTTAGTGATAATATAGAGAGCTGAAAGCATTAATTGGTTTGGTAAAATTCCTTGTGGCTGTTGAGAGTGATGGAGCCAAAGATATGCAATTGGAGGGGACAAGTAGGGTCAAGTGATAAAAATGTTTTTCTTCTATAGAGATGTGTGTATGTGTAGTGGACATGGATTTGTTTTGTCTTCCCTCCTTATTTCAAGCTGCAACCAAAAGAGCTCCGAAGTATTTTTACAAACCTCAGCTTACCAAAGTTGACAAATACAGTATGTATCTGTAGCAGTTAGGTGATTTTTATGCTAAATAATTTGAATAATTGAATGCCTTTTGTTTAATTTTATTTTAGAATCTCCCACCTTCTGTTGTGGCTACTGTTGGTGGTAAAATTTTCACTTTTGGCTCCTATAGGCTTGGAGTACATACCAAAGGTAACTGCTTTTCTGTGTTCTGATAAAAATGTTCACTAACAAACTTCTATTTGTTCATAATTTAAAAATACAGAAGAAAAAATTCCCATTATCTCACTACTGAGAACTAATTATTATTAGCATTTTCTGTAGTCATTACATATTTTCTTTTACATGTTTGTGTGTACTTAACAAAAATATGATACATAATATGCTCTTCTTGATAAGAAATACTTTGATTTGTAGGAGCTGACATTGATGCACTTTGTGTAGCTCCAAGACATGTGGAGAGATCTGATTTTTTTCAGTCTTTTTTTGAAAAATTGAAGCATCAAGAGGGCATTAGAAATTTAAGAGTAAGTATCCTCTGGTATTTAGTATCTTGAACTTGTTAATAAATAGCTGTAAAAGCTAGGGTTTACGATTGTTGAAATATTTCTTAAGAAGTTGCTCTATCTTGTTAAAATAATGGATAACGATTAATAACATGGGCTTTATCGTTTTACACATCTGGATTTGAATCTAGAAATCTACCAAATATTAGATCTTAGATTTTGGTCAAGTTACCCATTCTCTCTGAGCCTTTGTTTTCCTCTCTTATAAAGTGGAGATGGCATATAATAACATTTTTATAAAGTTTTTCTGAGGATCCATGAGATAATTTACATATATAAAGTTTAATTAGTAGTAACCCTTTATATGTGTACTAGAGGCCTGGTGCATGGATTCATGCACTGGTGGGGGCATGGCCTGTGGTGATCTGCCCGCAGTGGGAGCGCCACTCATTCTGGTCAGCCGAGTGGTGCTCCCTGGGGGAGTGCACTGACGACCTGGGCAGCTCCTGCATTGAGCATCTGTCCCCTGGTGATGAGTGCACGTCATGGCAACTGGTTGACAGTTGTTCTGGTAGTTCCACCATTCAGTCACTGGGCTTTTATATATGTAGATATGTAGCCATTCATTCAGCAAATTAGTTTCAGCACTAATGATTCATCAGACACTGGCCTTAGTCCCACAAATACAGTAGTGAACAAGACATTGTTTATGGGAAGGAGGGATTAGGGGAACTAACCAAGTGAATAGTTTTAATACAATCTGAGATGCTAGGATAAGATGAAGTTCAAAGGATCTGCATTATTTGGGTGTGTGGGAATAGAGAAGACGGTTAAAAATTTATATTCGGATTAAGGAAGACTCAGACTTTTCTACTAAATCTAAACTATATTGACTATTATTTTTTGATAGATTAATCATAAGTTCTGATTGTATTTTAATTTCTAACACAAGTGCTCTTTGTAAATAATCAGTTTTCAATTTGATCAACAATAATAAGTATTCAGATGATAGCAATTCTGTCTGCCAGTTTGTGATGAATATTTTTAGGAGATTAAGTTAGATAACAACTGTCATAGACATTTTGTGCATCTTAAATAACACAGTCACAAAGTAGAAGTACTAACCTAGAATGTGAGGCCAAGTACATTTTCACTTTTTCTGTTGAGTTTAATACAAATTGGGAGCAAAGGAATTCACATTATTGGCAATTAGGAAGGATTTAGAAAGGATTACAGCTTATCTATATGGATCAGAGGTGTTCGTATTATCAGCAAATAGGAAAGATGTAGAAAGGATTATGCCATATATATATAAATTTTTTTTTTTTTAGGCTGTAGAAGATGCCTTTGTACCTGTTATAAAATTTGAATTTGATGGAATTGAGGTAAGTGTTTTTAATATTTTTCTGACTGTATAGTTGAACTATTTAACCCATAAGGGCTTTTTGAGTTATTTTCTTTTTTTAAAATAAGACTTAAGAATCTATTTTAACTAATCAAATAGTCTTTAAATAGACCCTCACATTCCTCTTTCCTATATCTGTTGATTTCTCACCATGGAAAATGAACCAACTTTCATCCCTACCCTAGTCTCATTTCCATAATCTCCTAACATAATTATATTATGTTAATTGCTTTGCGATTTATTTGCTTAGGCCTTATTCTTAAGACTAATTCATACCCTCCTGTCATAGTTGTCTAAATCTCCTTTAAATAGATTTCTCCGTATTCTGTCATCATTCTGGGAAAATATCTCAGAATCTTCTCACCTGTTCCAATTCACTCTGATTATTCTCTATGGCTGATATATACAGCTGACATCCTAACATCTTTTTTTTTTACTATCATCCTGGGATTTCCTCTTGCCTCTCTCTAGAGTTTTCTTTCTTGACTCTCATTTTAGTGGCACTTATCCACTAGCTTCCTGAGAAAGAGCACATGGTTTTGAGATCTTGCATGTTTAAAATATCTTTCTTTTTTTCTCACACCAAAATGGTAGTTTGGCTAAGTAATGGTTCTCAGAATTTTGAAGGCCTTGCTTCATTGTCTTATAGCTTCTATGCCGTGTTGAAAAGTGTGATGCCATTTTAATTTCCTCATCCTTTGTATGTGATCTATTTTGTCTCTTTGGACACTTATATGATTTTTTTCCCCTAGACTTCACAGTTGTAAAATTCATGGTGATATACTTTAGTATATGTCTTTTCAATTAAATATGCTAGGTATTCAGTAGTCCTCTTTCAACTTAGAAACTCCTGCCCTTCAGTTCTTGGAAATTATATTGACTTCCATTGGATTTCCTTCCTTTGTTTCCTCTCTCCTTTCTGGAGCTCCTAATATTTGTATGTTGGACCTCCAGGATTGCCGCTCCCCCTTTTTTTTCTCCAAATTTTTTCCTTCCACTTATTGGCCACATCTTCATATTTTTGTTTTGCTTTTTGTGTTTTTCTCTTCCAAACTTTCTATTGCTTTCCATTTCTGTCACATACTTAATTTCTAAGAATTTTTATATTCTCTTAAATATTCCTCTTTGTTATGTATGTATTTACAGCCTCTTGTCCTTATTTCCTGGTTATAAATATTTTTAATCTTTGCTGTTTGAGATCTGAGTTGTTATCACTTACCCGTCTACTTTCCAGCTTTCATAATTTTTGCTGTTGTCTCATATTTTCCTTTGTCCTAATGAGTTATGTGTTTAAAAACAAAATAAAACTAAACAAAACAAAATTTTGCTGGTATTTTAGAGGGATTTCAAGAGGGAGTGAATGTAAATGTGTATTGGATCTGCCATCTTTATCTAGAAATTCACTTATAAGGTCTTAAGTTGGTTTTTTGGTGTGTGTGTTTTTTTAAAGCTTGGCATATATGTTAAAATTAAAATACTTTCCCTTAATTTGAAGATTCAGTTGCCCTCACAAAACTTTTGGTGATTTTCGCATCTGAGATTGCCTACATAGGCCTTTTGAAGTTTTAAAGAACTTCCAAAACTAATAATTACAACATTTTACATTTTTGAGGTGGGGATGGGGGAGAATGAACTAGAAGGAGAAAAAGTAATGTTTTTCTCTTTTTTTTTTTGCATCTTTCCAAAGATTGACCTAGTTTTTGCAAGACTGGCAATACAAACCATATCAGATAATTTAGATCTAAGAGACGACTCTCGACTGAGAAGCCTTGATATAAGGTGTATTCGCAGCCTAAATGGTAAGCTTCTAAAAAGAAATCTCAGCCATCTGCCTGAAAACAATTTGACATATAGAGATCTTTTTGCAGAACTAGTAATGGACTTTTAAAGGGATTCGACTAAATCGTTTTTAAAGTGATGTAATTTTCTCTATGCACATTTCTCTGACCACATTTAAACATCTTTAAAAGAAATTTGTTTGAATGTTGTTTATGTTTGTAATAGTGGTTCTCAAACGTATTGGTCTCAGGACCCGTTTACACTCTAAAAATTTATTGAGGACCCCAAAGATCTTCTGTTTATGTGGGTTATATCTAGTACTAACCATCTAATATGGTCAATATTTACCATATCAGAAATAAAAACCGAGAAAATTTTAAAGGGTGTGTTAGTTCATTTTAAAATAACAGTAAACATTTTTGTGTGAACAATGGCTTTGTTTTGCATTTTTGCAAATCTTTTTAATATTTGACTTAGTAGAAGATAGCTAGATTTTCATATCTCCTTTTATAGTCAATATCTTACAATGTTTTGTTTTGATTGAAGCATAGGAAGAGAAACTGGCCTCTTAAAGATATGTAATTGGAATAGGGAGGAGTATTTTAATAATCTTTTCAGATAATTGTAGATATTCTTTGATACTACACTAAAACTTGACCAATAATAGTTTTTTTTCTTTTCCATAGTTTTATTGAGGTCTAATTACATACCATAAAATACATTCTTTTTAGGTATACAATTTAGTAGTACAGAGTATATTCAGAGTTGTGTACAACAGTTGAATTTTGGAACATTTTCATCATCCTCAAAAGATCCCTCATACCTATTTGCAATCATTCCCTTTTCCAAGTCCCCAGTCCTAGGCAACCACTAATATACTTTCTATTTCTATAGATTTGCCTTTCCTGGACATTTCATATAAATGGGATCATTAGTTTTGTGTCTGGCTTCTTTCACTTGTAATGTTTGTGAAGTACATCTATGTTTGTAGTATGTTTCAGTAGTTTCCTCCTTTTATTGCTGAGTAAAAGTGATCTTTTTAAAAAGGTTAGTTAGAATATCTAATCTAAAACCATATATATCAGTTAACTTTTTGAACTGTTACATTAAAAATCCATTGGTCTACCTTGTTCTTTAATTGGATTTTTTTATCCATGCTTGATTTTGTACGATGATGACTTCATCATTTGGAAAATCTTGGTTCACAAAATTATTTGGCTCTTCTAAATGTTAACTCACATTTTGTTATAAAATCAAAATTACATTTATTAATATCTCCAATATCATCAGAAAAGTATAAGTATTAGAAAGCTGTCAAGCTCACAGTAACAGATACTAGTTATCCAAAATTCTAATTTTTACTTGGAAGCTCAAATGTTATTATTGGCAACAAATTTTTGTCATTTGTTTTCCTTGATATAAGGCTCACTTTGTTTTGTTTTTAGAAAGTATCTGCTAAATACTCAAGCATGAATAGCCATAGTTGTCTGTCAATCATTATTTCAAGTGAAGTTGGTATTCCTTAAAAAAAAAAATGGGTAGCTCAGCTTGCCTCGAACATGTTCAAATATCCGCACAGGTTTCTTAGCTCTCTTTTAACTGCAAATGTGTGGCAGTAAACATGTCTGCTTAGTACAGTGTTGCTACAGCTTTAATTTACTGCTAGGGTACCAGCAGTTTTACCCACCACTTCTTTCAGTGCAAATGTTAACACAGTGAAACAGGCAAAGAAAGCCTTAATGCAGTTATAAAAATGGGTTTGATCTAACAGATTCCCAGGGGTCCTTAGACCATACTTTGAGAACTACTGGTTCATAGTATCTTTTGTTTAACTGAATCATTGTGTTTTGCTGTCCTAGAGTGCAACAGTAAATCACAGTGTTTGTGAATAAGGTTTGCATTAAAGCAATAACACTTTTATAACTTGGGAGCATTTAATTAACAGTCAAGTCAAATGTGGAAGAATGCTAAAAAGATAGACCTATCCCTTATTTTAGTATTGGATTGCTTTACCCATGTGCTTTGAATTCTTTAAATTAATTTAATTCGTTAAATGAAAGTCTTTGAATTAACTGGGTTTTGTTGCATAATGAAATACGAGTGCTTTATCTTTTTCAGGATGTAGAGTTACTGATGAAATTTTGCATTTAGTGCCAAATAAAGAAACTTTTAGACTCACCCTAAGGGCAGTCAAATTATGGGCAAAACGTAAGTATCCCAACTCTTATTGTATGTTTGCATTATAAAATTATAATTTTCTTTTTTATTGTTGACAATGTTACAGATGTCTCCTATTTTCTCCTTTTTGCTTCCTTCTACCCAACCTCTGCCCCACTCTAGGCCTTCCCCATACTGTTGTCTATGCCCATGGGTTAAGCATATATGCATATATGTTCTTTGGTTAATCTCTTCCTGTCCCCTCCCACCTCCCAACCTCTCCTGAGATCTGTTATTCTGTTTCATGCATCCATACGTATGGATCTATTTTGTTTGTCAGTTTATTTTGTTCTTTAGATTCCACATATAAGTGAGATGATGTGATATTTGTCTTTCTCTTACTGGCTTATTTCGCTTACATAATAGTCTCCAAGTCCATCTATGCTGTCTCAAAGGGTAAGAGATCCTTCTTTTTTACAGCCACATATTCCATTGTGTAAATTACCACACTTTTTTATTCACTCATCTACTGATGGGTGCTTGGGCTGTTTCCAGATCTTAGCTGTTGTAAATAATGCTGATATGAACATAGGGGTGATTGTATTTTTTCTGATTGGTGTTTCCTGATTCTTAGGATATATTTTCAGAAGTGGGATCGCTGGGTCAAATGGCAGTTCCATTTTTAATTTTTTGAGGAACCTCCGTATTGTTTTCCACAGTGACAGCACCAGTCTTCATCCCCACGAGCAGTGTACTAGAGTTCCCTTTTTTCTACATCCTTGCCAGCATTTAGTGTTTGTTGATTTATTGATGTAGCCATTCTGGCAAAATTATCATTTTTAGTTGCTAATGATAGAAGCATACATGAAAACTCTTGAGCCTATTGATACCGATTGAGGTCCAATAAGTTTTGGAGAAGCTGTTTCTTTTTCAGGTGCAATAGTTATGGTGCTATAATGTGTAACTGTACTTCTTTCTCCCATGGCTGAAAACTGAAAAGCCCCTGACTTTCCATCTTGGGTTTCAGCCAGGCAGTCAGAATGAGTTAGGACTTGAAGAGTATACTCTTCACTGATCTTTGAGCTCTCTTTGGGCAGGAGTGTCTTACTTATCTTTACTCCCTATCACCAACAAAGTTTATAGTAAGTGTTCAGTAAATTTATTAAATGAAAAGCCTACAGTGATAGTTTTAACTTGTTTTTGTTTTACGCTATAACACCCTTCTAATAAAACCTGGAACTGCACTAGTTTAAATGTATAGGATATGGTTAGTAAAAGGCCCAGTCCTGAGCTGGCATAGCACATTTGTACTATTTATAACTACATTTAACTGCTACACTTCTGGCACCAGGTTTTATATAGTCTGAAACAGTGCTCTCCAATAAAAACTTTCTGTGATGATGGAAATGTTTCCTATTGTGCTGTCCAATACAGTAACCATGTAGCTACCAAGTTCTTGAAACATGCAAGTGAGAAACTAAATTTTAAATTTAATTTAATTTAAAATTAAATAGCACCTAAGAGAAGTAAAAAGGTATGTCCACACAAAAACTGATAAACAAGAGTTCATAGCAGCTTTATTCATAATAGTAAAAAAGTAGAAACAACCGCATTATATAAACTGATGAACAGGTAAACAAAAAGTGCTATTCCTATAATGTGGAGTATTATTTGGCAATAAAAAAGGAATGAGGTATTTATTGATATATGTTACAACATATATGAACATTGAAACCATTATGTTGAATGAAAGAAGCCAGTCATAAAAGACCACATATTGTACAATTCCACTTATATGAAATGTCCAGAACAGCAAATCTATAGAGACAAAGTAGATTATAGGTTGCCTAAGTTATGGAGGATGGGGGGGGGGCACAGGAAATGTGATGTTAAAGGTTTCTTTGAGGGTGATGAAAATGTTCCAGAATTGATTATAGTGATGATTGCACAACTCGGTGAAGAATATATTAAAAGCCATTGAATTTTATACTTTAAATGGATGAATCCTAAGGTATGTAAATGATGTCTCAATAAAAGCTGTTACACGCCCCCCTCAAAAAAATAGCCAAATGTAACTAGTAGCTACCATAATATTAGTGCACATCTAAAAAGACCTTAAGCAAGTAGAGTTTGTCTTTTGGCTCAGTTACCTTGTATAGTCAGGATAAAGTAATTTACACTGAGAGGATATCACAAGTAATTTGTCTTCCCTTACAGATTAAATGCTATGTTTTGTTAATTCTTAGATGCATATCTTTCACATTTAATATATCTGAAATTGATATATAAACAGTTGTATTTTTTCTCTTGTTTGCTTAATGGGATATAAAATCATGCTATATTATATAATTGAAAAAGGATCTTAAGTTTGCTGAAATATGGTAATGCTTTTTTATAGATTGCTATAAGAAACAATCATACGAGAATTGAGTAATATCAGTGATGTGCTGTGCTTTATGGAAAATTCTAAAGTTATGCAAATTATGCAGAATAATTATGCAAAATACTAAACTTAGTCCCTAGCTTTATACTTGATTTTAAAATGCCCATGAATATGATTACTAATGAAATGTTTATTCTTCCCTACTTATAGAACTCTCCAGATATCTTGCCTTTTTTTCATTTCTTTCTCAACCGTAAATATTGAAATGTGGGAGATCCAATGTCATATCAGTGGAGTCTAGTTGGGCAGTCAGAACGGAGACAGGGAATAAGGGTTTCTGTATTGGAGGGCAAAGTAGGGGGCTATGGTGAGCAGGTTATGGTTTACCAATAAGACTAGGCCTAGCATGAAGGTCTACTTCTTGATTTTAATGTGGGTTTTTTAAAAAATATATTTTTTATTGATTTCAGGGAGAGGGGGAGAGAGAAACATCAATGATGAGAGAGAATCATTGATCTGCTGCCTCCTGCCCGCATCTTGGGCATGTGTCTGGACCTGAAATCAAACTCTGATCTCCTGGTCCATGGGTTGATGCTCAACCACTAAGCCACACTGGCTGGGAGATTTTAATGTTTCTATAGAGGAAAAGAGTTCTAAGCAACAGTCTTATGAAGGAAGTAATCCTGTTCTTTACAGTTGAATGACATGGATAGTAGGTCCTAACGATAATTAACAAATATATTAATTTTATAGGACGTGGTATTTATTCCAACATGCTGGGATTCCTTGGTGGTGTCTCTTGGGCAATGCTAGTTGCAAGAACTTGCCAATTATATCCAAATGCAGCAGCTTCTACTTTAGTTCATAAGTTCTTTTTAGTTTTTTCCAAGTGGTAAGTATTCATATGCATACTTTCACTTATTTACTAACCTCTGCCTATTTGGAACTTTGTTTGGAAATTTAAGAGCTATGTATAGTTTTTTTTTTTTTTTGTCTTAACATTTTCTTTCTGTTTATTTATTTTGGTTAATCCTCACCCGAGGATATTTCTCCATTGATTTAGATAGAGTGGAAGAGAGGGAGGGGAATTGGGGGAGAGAAAGAGAAACATCAGGGCTGGGGACTGAACCTACAACCCAGGTATGGGCCCTTGACCAGGAATGGAACCTGAGAACCCTTGGGTATATGGGCAAATGCTCTAACCATTTCGAAACGCCATCCATGGCTTATATTCTTTTTTTTCTTTTTCGTTGAAAGTTTAAAAACATCAAATTAGAGGGAGTGTTGGGACATCAGATGTCACTTTCCAGGGGTCTGTAAATGCGCATCTTTAGCTTGAGAGAGTGGTCACAATACTAGCCAATTACTATGTTGAGGTCATTTAAGATCTCATGTAAAATAGAGATAATAATCATAGCTGCTGCATGGGTTTGTTAGTATTTTCAGTAAATATTAGTTGTTGCTGTTGTCAGAGTTAATACATGAAAGTAAATGAGAAGGAAAGGAAAAATTCAGATTTAAATTAGATACAGCTAATGGGCAAAGCTGTATTTACCCTTTCAGAGAACACTGCTTTAAAATGATCCACTTTTTTCCATTTTTTTAAATGCCCAATACCCAAAACATTTGCTATATGAAAGTTGGAACAAAGTCAAATGATGTTAACATTTCATATGGTTGCTGAGGTGAGGTCCTATGTGAGCTAATCTGTCTTATGTTAGGGAATGGCCAAATCCTGTGCTGCTGAAGCAACCAGAAGAAAGCAATTTGAATTTGCCTGTTTGGGATCCTCGGGTAAGTGACTTATTATAGAATTTCATTAAGTCTTTTATGAAAAGGACAGTTCTCTAAATTATAATCTAAAGATAATTCTCCTTGTGCCTGCTCATCTTCTTTCTAATGTAACTATAGTCCCTTCCCTTCCTCTGCTGTGATTTTTGGTGCAGATGATGTGTTTTTCCAATGATAACCCAAATGTTATGTCATTAAAAATCACCCATATAAGACTATGGGAGTGGGTGTATCAACCAAAATGTCATAATCTATTTTTAAAACTGTCTTACAAATAATTTCTAATACAGTACTGAAGTATATATGTAAAAGATTTGCTTTGCAGTACAATTTAAAAAGCAGATTCATGGTTCCAAAATAGCATAAGTCTCACTCACCTTGCATTTTAATTTGCTTTTAGAGTAATTGCTCATTTTTCTGAGTAACATAGGGGAAGTCACTGAATGAATAGGTGCAGAAAAAGGGTTGAGAACCACTGGACCAGATAATGCTTATTTGCAGCTATGATAGTGTGTTTCCCTGGTTCTAAGAGACTATTGTTTATAAGGTGCATCATCAATTTAACAGCTTTTCAGGGGAAAAATAAACTTCTGCAGAGTTTCCATTGACTGTCAGTCACATCTGACTTCAGAAATAAATGTAGTTGGGGATGGGATAATGTACTTTTTAGAATTGAGGAAATGTAGTATTAAATTTATATTTCATATTCTTCAGACTTTTGGGGAAATGAAGTGAGGACAACTGAAATAGGAGAATAGATCAATTATTCTGCTTCTAATTTCACAGGTAAATCCATCAGATAGGTATCATCTCATGCCCATAATCACCCCTGCCTACCCACAACAGAATTCTACGTATAATGTGTCCACATCAACTCGAACAGTAATGGTAGAAGAATTTAAACAAGGTAAACCTATTGGCCCTATTGCCCTTACATATTCCCACAAGGTTTTGGTTGACAACAATTTTATTCTATTTTGTAGTTACTTATGCCTGTTATTTCTTAAAATTCTTTGAAATGTGTATTTATTTTTTCAGTAATTGGTTTTCCAAAATATATTATAATATTAAGGCCAGAAATGGAATCAGCCCAATCTGGTTGAAGTTGACTTTTGTGTTCTGAGAAAGAACATAATAAAGTTACTTTTTTTTTTTTACTCAAGAATTTGGTGGGGTTAGAGGTTTGGGGGTAGGGTAATATAATAATGCAGGAGCTGATAAATATGATAGTCATTGTTTAAAATCTCTCTCTCTCTTTCTCTTTCTCTCTCTTTAAACTTAGGTCTTGCAGTCACAGGTGAAATTCTTCAAGGGAAATCAGATTGGTCCAAACTACTTGAGCCACCAAATTTTTTTCAAAAGTATAGGTATTTGAAATTTTCCATTTTGTGTGTGTGTGTATAAAGAATAACATTAAACTTATTACAAAGTTAATAAATGATAGGTCACAATTGTCACATAATTTCAACTGAGTGAGAATAGGTTACCAGAACTCCTAAGTGATCAGTTTCTATATTGTAGTAGTACAGTATATAACCCATTGTTAGTGGTTTTTTTGTTTGTAGTGAATTGTTTTTTTCATTGCAGTGTCTGGAATTAATTTTGTAACAATTAAAGTATGTTTTGATTTTCATAAATTGTGTGCCTGCATTAGCTCTTTTGTTCATTGGGAGAAAGAAAAAGTAAGATGGAAAAGCAGACACTAACAATTTTTATTGCTTTTTATTCCCCTGATTGTTGCTGAAAATTCTTCATAGACATTATATAGTATTGACTGCCAGTGCATCAACAGAAGAAAACCATCTAGAGTGGTAAGACTTATATTTCAAGTTCTCTACCTACTGTTATAAATGATAAAGCACCATATAAATATGTTACCACCATAAACACTTTCTCTATTTTCAAAATTATTAAAATGACTTGTACATGACCATGGAGCATCACCCACTGATTTATATATTGTCTATGGCTGCTTTCCTGCTACAAGGCAGAGTTGAACATTTACAACAGAAACAATGGAGCACAGAGGCTAAAACTTTTATCTGGCCTTTTATAGAGAAAGTTTGCCAATCTCTCATTTAGATTACCTTGAGGAATAATTCAGTGTTTTGTATACCTACTGTTGGAGCACACACAGTTAAAATGTGTAAGCTTTTTCTAGTGTTTAAAAAAAATGTAAAAGTGTTCTTGTAGCTAGTCTTTCTAATTCTTAAAATCATTAAATTAATATGATAGCTGACAGCAGTCACATTTCTTAAGTGAGATAGAAAGTTGCAGAAATCTGATGAAACTTTGGATATTTTAGGAGTATCTGATCTGATTTTAGTGAATTTTTAAATGTAATATCTAGTATCAATTCTGTGAAAATCTTAGCCTTTTAAAAAAATCTTTATTGTTAAAAGAGTATTATATGTGTATTTCATAAATTAAGGGCCAATTACTAGCTTTTTTGGGTCACATTATTTAAACATATCTTACCCTTTTTAAAGAAATATATCTTTATTGATGAAAAAGTATTACAGGTGTCCCCTCCCTTAATTCCCCCCTTTTCTCTCCTCCACCCAGATCCCACCCCACACCAGGTCTTCACGACCCTATTGTCTGTGTCCATGGGCTATGCATATCCTATCTAATAAAAGAGAAACATGGTAATTAGCCATACCTCCGCTACCCTTCCCATTGGCTAATCAGCATATCCTTATGCAAATTAACTGCCAACCAAGATGGCGGCTGGCAGCCAGGCAGCTGACGCAAACAGGGAGGCTTGCTTGCTCCAGTGATGGAGGAAGCCAGGTTCCCCACCTGCTGCTGCCGGCCTCTGAGCTTGCAGTTTGAAATATTGTAACAAATATAGAAACTAAACAAAACCCCAGAAACCTGCTTTAGTCAGCCTGGCTTCAGCCAGCAGGATCGCAACATTGTTTCAAATACAGAAGGTAAACAAAGGCCAGAAACCTGCTTTCAGCAGCGGAGGCCTCATAGCTGGAGCCGAGCCTCAGAGCTAAAGCTGGCCCAGAATTAAAAAAAAGAAAAAAAGGAGCAGTTGGGAGCTTCAGTCACCCGCCAGCCTGAAAACGGCCCTCAGCCCCTCACCCAGACTGGCCAGGCACCCCAATGGGGACCCCCACCCTGAAGGGGGTGTGACCAGCTGCAAACAGCCATCATCCCCTCACCCAGGCTGGCCAGGCACCCAAGCGGGACCCCCACCCTGATCCAGGACACCCTTCAGGGCAAACCAGCCGGCCCCCCCCCAGGCCTCTATCCTATATAGTAAAAGGGTAATATGCCTCCCAGCACCGGGATCAGCGGAGCCGCGAGGCCTCCTGGCCCCTGGAGCAGCGTGACAGGGGGCAGCGCCCAAACCCCCTGATCGCCCTGCGGCTCTCTGTGTGACAGGGGGTGGGGCCACAACCTTCCTATCCGCCCTGCTCTGTTCGTGACAGGGGAAGGCACCCCAACCCCCTGATCAGCCCTGCTCTGTGCCTGATAGGGGGAAGCTCCCCAAACCCCTGATCGCCCTGCAGCTCTGTGTGTGACAGGGTGCGGCGCCCCAACCCCCTGATTGGCCCTGCTCTGTGTGTGACAAAGTGTGGTGCCCCAACCTCCCCCCCGCCCCAGGGGCTCTGCTCTGTATGTGACGGGGTAGAGCCATAACCTCCCCATCGGCCCTGCCCTGAGTGTGACAGGGTGCGGCGCCCCAACCCCCTGATCTGCCCTGCGCTGTGTGTGACAGGGGGCGGTGCCCCAACTCCCCTATCGGCCCTACTCTGTGAGTGACAGGGGGGAG